TATAACAATCATTACTGAATTCTTATTTAGTGAAATTCTGTGTTGTTTCTAATGGTTTTTCAAATTTTTTTATTCCCCTAAAAAATAAAATAAATGTAATCCTAACATTGAGGAGGGAGAATATCCACAAGTTTGAGGACAGCCTAAACTATAGCAAAGGCCAGGAAGATAGCACAGTATCTGCCTGGCAAGCACAAGGTCCTGAGTTCAATTCCCAGTTAAAAAAGAAAATGAACCTATAGTGAGGTCTTGTCTCAAGAAGATTAAAATGGTGACTAAAGTAGTGAGTTATGAGTTGCCAAAGTAGTCTCCTTAAGCTGATTGTTCTCAGCACTTAGCTTGTTTAAATTTTATTTTATTTTTCTGTATTTTAGGGAAGGGTCTATAGGGTGTTCAGGGTCTCACTACTAGATCGGATTCAGTGATTCTCCTGGTTACAGTCTCCCAAGTGATGGGATTACAGGCACATGCTACCACGCCCAGTCGCAGTCCCAGCCTCAGTGCGCTCTGGGGACTGGGCTGGCTTGGCAGGCCCCAGGAAGGAACCCAGCCCCTGAGCCTGTTTGCAGGTGCTTTAATTTGCTGAGCTATTTAGCTGGAGCTCCCCTTTCCCCTTTCCCCTCTCCCCTCTCCTCTCTCTTTTTCTTCTCTTTCTTCTCTCTCTCCTCTCTTTCTTAATTTGGTACTGAGTCTCCCTATGCAGGTTAGCCTTTGTAGTGATTCTCCTGTTACCAGCCTCAGAAGCATTGGGATTATAGACGTGTACCACCACTAGCCATCTCAGCATGCTCTGCGCACAGAGCTGGCGTGGCATGCAGGGGATCAAACTGTGGTCCCTGAGTCTGCCTAAGGCCCTTGTGCTTGCCAGGCAAGAGCTTATTCTACGGAGCCATCTCCCCAGCCCCTTAAATGTCTTTTTAATTAGTAGACTGCAACATCTTTAAGGGCAGGAAGTTTAAGGATAAGGGGAAGATTTAAACTATGTTTGAGCTTTCTGTTTTTGTGCATTTGTACTGCTTAGGATTGAACCCTGGGGGTCTCAACTACTAAACTACACCTAACCCATCAGGTATTTCATTTTCAGACAGGGTCTTGTTAATTAGGTTTCCTAGCCTGGGCTTACACTTAAATATCCTCTTGCCTCAACCTGTTGAGTAGTTGGGATTGCAGGTATACACCACTGCTCTCAGTTGATGAGTGTGCTTTTTGCAACTCTAGGTTATGACCAGTTAGTACTGGGAATTTAATGAGTCACAGCTGAGCAACTTGGAGAGCCTTATCTCAAAATTAAAAAAATCAGCACCTGCCTCCCTGGCAAGCACAAGGGCCTGAGTTCAATTCCTGGTGTCAGAAATTTTAAAAACAAACAAACAAACCCACCTACTTTGGGTTTTTGTTTTATTAAAACCGGGTAAAACAGGGTTATAAGGATAATACATCTTGTCACCCTAGTTGCAGTTTGTATATCTGGATGGAGACTGGGTTGTGATGTATAGTTGATTTCAGATGAGGTTAAAAGCCATTTCAGATTGTCTTCAACGTTTCTTTGAAGTCCACCTAGGACTGTAAGTTGGTTGTAGCTTCAAAGCTGTGACTGATTCCAGAGGCTGTTGGTGGGGGCTGTTGGGTCTTTTGCATTATGTTCTTGTGATGTAACACTTCTACTTCAGAATTGCTGAGCAATGAGTATCCCTTGACTCTATGTTAAAAAAGGGGAAACTTCCCCTTCAGAGTGATCCCTTGATTACCAGATGATGTAGAGGTGAAGCCCGTCTTTTCCTTGTCCTTCAGACTCTCAGCAGCGTGCCCAGCTGGGACCGCCATGCGCTTGGCCTCACAGCAGGTAGGATTTGTTCAGCTAGCAGAGAGGCTGCGTAGGTAAGGAAGAGATTTCGTAGGACACAAGTCACTGTGAGCCAGGTGCAGGGCCGCACCTCTGTAGCTCAACACTCAGAGGCTGAGGCCGAAGATTTCAGTTCAGGTTGAGATGGGCTTTCTCTGTGCAGTTGAAGCTGGCCATGAGCTTGCAGCAGTCCTGCTGTAGCCTCCCAAGTGCTGGGATTACAGGTGTGTGTCACATGCTGGGTCTCTGAAAGAGTTACTAACTTGTAATTTGAGCTAAAAGTTTGAATTCCCCTACTTTCAGGCAAGTGTGGTTATGTGCTGTGGACTCCGTTTGTGGCCTGGGCTGCAATGGGCTGACTTAGTTCACATTTGGGCATTTGCTTTGCACTTGCTTAGGGTGTGTGCTACCAAAGACAGTGTGGTGTAGGGCTGGCCAAGTAGCTCAGTGGATTAAAGTGCCAGTAAACAGACTCAGGGGCCGGGAGTTTGAGCCTGCCATGCTGGCATCACCCTCAGGGCTCTGAGACTGGGCGTGGTGGCGTGCGCCTGTGATCCCAGCTCTTGGGAGACTGAACAGAACAGATCACTGTGAGTCTGATCTAGTGGTGAGACCCTGAACACCCTGTAGACCCTTTCCTAAAATACAGAAGAAACACCTAAAGACAATGTGTATATTATTGGCTCAGCTCCTGGGACTGCTTATCAGTTTTTAGTAGCAGAACTATGCTTCTGTGTAAAGCAGAAACAAAACTAAACACATGCATTTTGTTCTCTGGGACAGAATTATATCCTTCTGTGATTGATGATAAGTTTGGGAGGTAGAAAGAGTCGGTGTGAGGCCACTGAGCAGCTTAGTAAACCTGGACTGTGGGGGGTGTGCTGGAGGTCGCTGCTTGGTGCTCCTTGTTCAACACCTGAATAACTCGCCGTCCAACTGAACAGCCTGGCCCTGCAGGAGGTGTCCTGCTTGGTTTGGGGGCTCCTGATATTGGGAAGCTTTCTGTGACCTTTCTCCACATTAGTCCTATGGGTGTCTGAAGAAGGCTTGTGTTAGAGTAGCACTCCCTGCAATTTGGCATTCTTAGCTCTTTTGGAGTCCAGTAAGGAAGAACTTTGAGCGGTTCATTGGAAGGATTTTGGAAGACAAGAGGGCCACCTTTGGACCTAGGACAGTAAATAGGACAAGAGGATATGAGCCCTTTCTAAAACTAGACTTAATGTTCCCATCCCTGCCTAACAGAGAGTGTGTGACCTAGAGGCCCAGCATAGAAGCCAGAGATCTTCCATCCCTGTTATAAACACTGCCTGCCGGCCA